ACACACACACACACACACACACACACAGTATATAGCCATCCATACATATTTCAAACCGCTTATCCTCACGAGGTTCGCAGACAACCTATCCCAACTGTCTTTGGGCAGTAGGAGGGGTACACCCTGAACTGGTCGCCAGCCAATTGCAGGGCACATATGGACAAACAACCATATGCTCTCACACCTCAGGATGATTTTTGAGCGTTCAATCAACCCACCATGCTTGTATTTGCAATGTAGGAGGAAACCAAAGTTGCGCCGGAATAAACCCATACAGGCACGGGGAAAACATGTGCTCACTCAATGCTACAAACGAACCCCCGACTTTCCACTCTGAGGCGATTGTGCTAACCACTCGACACCATGCTACATGTATTTATTACACTGTATGTAATCATTTTTTTAAAAATTTCAGCTGTGGATAAGTTGCCGTAAAAAAAAACCAACACATGGCAAACAGAAAGCAATACATGCTCAACACCAGTCTACTTGCCCGGGCGCACGGACACACACAGATAAGCTCTGACACACACACACACACACACACACACACACACCACAATGTCCAATTAGTATCAGCATCTGCTTCGGTCTCCCTTGACTACTGCTGCTGCCACCTGGTTGGTCCCACAGAGAAAGAGAAAAAAAAAACCCTTCAAGTTCCTTGAAATTGATTAAAAGTATTTCACGAGCATCGCTTTACTTTTGCCTTGATGGCAAACAAATCATGATCATGGTCTGCAATGACAAGATAAAGTAGTGGGGAATCCTGTTTCAGTGTTCCTTTGGTGCTGTTTTCTGCTCATTCAAAGAGGGTTTTTTTTTTTTTTTGGGCTGCACTGTTTGTAGCCCGTGCATGTGGGAGTAAGATTTTTGTCCAAACAGATTTCAGCCTTGTTCTGCATTGTCATTTCTGGCCAAGCATTCTTTGGAGCTGGCCAGTTTGACTTTGGTCATAATTCAGATGCGTGATAAAAAATCCTGTTATTAGCTGAATATTAAGTCTAAAATGTTCTAGGTGAAGTATGCAACATGCAAAGTATGCACTGTTTCAATGGCTTGTGAAAGTGTTTGGCCCCGAGAAGTTTTTCACCGTTTGTCACATTTCAGGTTACATAGAAGAAAAATCAACAGGAAGTGGGACAGCATCCTGAAAATGTATGAAATTAATTTGATATTTTAAACTTTTTCTTTTTTTTTTTTTAAAGTAGATAACTATACGGTGTGCGATAATATTCAGCTCCAATTTTGCACACTCCACTTTTCAGTTTATTTTGAACAAAAGGTTGAAAATATCGTATGAATTGTGTTCCTTTTCATGAATGTGTCCCACCTGGGTTTGTTTCTTCACAGTTTGACACGAGCTCACCCACTAACAGTACACTCTGCCCACCAGGCACCATGACAAACTGAAATCTGAATGTCATGCCATCATGAGGCATTTTGTGATCCCAGCAGTCATGTTAGTTACTCTGGAGATTTGCCTCTCTGCTCCTCAGAGTCTGACTGACAGAGAAGCTACTGTGTCAAGAATGACAGCTCACTTGGGGGGCAGGGGACCACTTTGGGATCTTTCAGTGACTGATGGATAAGCTAATACACACTGGTCTCCAGCGGGATAAAATGATTGAGAAATGGAGCAGGACACTCACCATGCTTGGGATTGATGGAAGATGATCGATAACGGTGGAGTTCTGAACCCCACTCTTCAAATGTGTCTGATTGCCAGAACTTAATTTGTATGCTGGTCTTTTATTCTCACTTTCTCCTGAAATGAACATCTCGTTGTCTTCTAAACTTTATTTTGCTGTTCAAGTGAACAGCTATTGCATGTTGAAATGCTTTTAAACTGAACGAAAAGTAATTTAATCTTTGAACTGCCCTTTTCACATTTTTTTTTTTAACGAGATTGACATCAAGCTCTGCAATCTGTCCAGGACCTCCTTACCGGTTTGCAGTCTGAACCAGAAGGTGAGGGAATGTCATGGCCGCCTGGGGCCTTTACAGGATATCTTAAAATCCGTATTGCAAGTCATTACATGGACACTCTAATTCCCAACCAATTTACTTTCACTTTACACTCCAGCTAAAGGCTAGGCCAGGTCCCCAACCATCCTTGTCATTTTCAAAATGTAAGCGGGTGGTAGGTCATTTCGTGTTGTGGAAATCGTCTGCCTTGCTCCTGTTATCAAATTCGGAGCTAAAGTAGGTCTTTTTGCTGTTGCTGCTCTTTCGCTGCAGAATGGCTCGATCAGCAGTAAATAAG